GTAGCAGAACCTCCCCGTTTGTAAATTCTATCCCTCGAGCAATGAAGGATAATATACCATTTGCTTAATTAATTGCTTGCAAACCAACTTTTTGTGATTCATGCACAAGGACACCCAGGTGCCTTTGCATAGTAGCATGCTGCAATTTTTCACCATTTACATAGTAGTCTGTTTTGCTGTTATTCCTACCAAAATGGATGACCTCACATTTACCAACATTGTACTCTATCTGCCAGACCCTTGCCCACTCACTAACCTATTTATATCCCTCTGCAGACTTTCAGTGTCCTCTGCACACTTTGCTCTATCACTCATCTTAGTGTCCTCTGCAAACTTTGACACATTACACTTTGTCCCCAACTCCAAATCATCTATGTAAATTGTAAACAATTGCGTCCTAACACTAATCCCTGAGGCAGACCACTAGCCACTGATCGCCAACCAGAAAAACATCCATTTATCTCTGGTCTTTGCTTTCTGTTAATTAACCAATCCTCTATCCATGCTCATGCATTAACCATAACACTGCACTTTTATCTTAAGCAGCAACCTTTTGTGCAGCACCTTGTTGAACGCCTTCTGGAAATCCAAATACACCACATCCACCATTCCCTGTTGTCCACCATGCTTGTAATGTCCTCAAAGAATTCCAGTAAATTAGTTAAATATGACCTGCCTTTCACAAACTCTTGTTGCGTCTGCCCGATAAGACAATTTTCATCCAGATGTCTCACTATTTCTTCCTTAATGATAAATTCAAACATTTTCCCTACTATAAAAGTTAAGCCAGCAGGCCCATGGTTACCTACCTTTTGCCTACTGCCTTTTTTAAATAGTGACGTCACATTTGCTGTTTTCCAATCTTATGGAACTGTCCCAAAGTCCAGTGAATTTTGATAAATTACCACCAGTGCATTTTCTATTTCCTGCGCCATCTCTTTAAGTACCCTGGAATGCATTCCATCAGGGCCAGGAGACTTATCTACCTTTAGCCCCATTAGCTTCCCCAACACTACCTCTTCAGTGATAATGATCATTTCTAGGTCCTCACCTGCCATAGCTTTCTTGTCATCAATTACTGGCAAGTTATTTGTGTCTTCCTCTGTAAAGACTGACACAAAATACCTGTTCAATGCCTGAGCTATTTCCTCATTTACCATTATTAAATCCCTCTTCTCATCCATTAAACGACCAATGTTTACCTTAGCCACTCTTTTTCATTTTATATATTTGTTTGCTATCTGTTTTTAATATTCTGAACTAGTTTACTCATGATCTATCTTACCTTTCTTTAGAACTGTCTTCATGGCTTTCTGTTGACCTTTAAAGATTTCCCAATCTGTTAGTTTTCCGCTAGTCTTTGCCACTTTGTATGCATTAGCTTTCAGCTTGATAACCTCCTTTATTTCCATAGTTATCCAAGGCTAATTATCCCTTTTCCAACAGTCCTTTCTTTTCATTGGTATATACTTTTGCTGAGCATTATGAAAAATCGCTTTGAAAGTCTTTCACTGCTCTTCAATTGTCCCACCATATGGTCTGTGCTCCCGGTCTACCTTAGCCAACTCCTCTCTCATCCCATTGTAGTTTCCTTTGTTTAAGCACAAGACTCTGGTATTGGATTTTACCTGCTCAGCCTCCACCTGTATTTTAAATTCAACCATACTGTGATCACTCTTTCTGAGAGGATCCATCACTGAGGATATTAATCATTCCTGTCTCATTACACAGCTTGCTCCCTTATAGTTTCCTTGAATAGTATGAAATGAAACCTATCATAGATATATTTCTATGAACTCCTTCCTTTTTATACCCTCTTTTTGAATCTTAACAGTAAACCAGAAAAACATTTGTTTTTAAACATTCTCTTTTTCTGTCACTAACTGGTTTCGACTCATCTGAGTGCCACACAACTCATCTGCTTCTTGCTTTTTATTTACTATCTTGATTCTCTTTTTCCTTAAGCCCTCACCCACTCTAGCTAACTCAGAGCCTCCCCTTATGTTCCCATCCCCCTGCCAAAATACTTTAAAGTCCACCCAACAGTGCTAGCAAAACACCCGCAAGAATATTGATCCTGTCACTGTTTGGGTGAGGACCATCCCTCTTGAACAGGTCCCACCCTCCCAGAAATGGTCCCAGTTATTTAGAAATCTGAAGCCTTCCCTCTTACACCATTCCCCCGGCCACGTATTCAACTGCCTAATCTGCCAATTACTAGCCTCACCAGCATGTGGTACAGTGAGGTCCTGGCTGTTAATCTGGCTCCTAACTCCCTAAATTCAGCCTTCAAGACCTCATCCCTGTGTCACTAGCACCAACGTGTACCACAACCACTGGCTAGTTCCCTTTCCCCTCCCCAAAATGTCCTGCAGCCACTCAGTGACCTGTAGGACCAGGGAGACATCACGCCATCTTGTTGTCACTAGAACACTGCAGAAACGCCTCTGTTCACCTAAAAATTGAGTCTCCTATCACCACCATCCCTAACTGCCTTTTTCTCCCCAGTCAGTGCAGCTGAGTGCCCCATGGTGCTGTGGGTTTTTGCTTTGGCTGCAATTCCCTGCACATAGTACTGGATGGCTATTGGGATGGCAGTAACAGTATTATCCTCATTTTTTTTAATATTTTGCAGCAAATTCATTGTTGTAATGTATGACCATGCTAAAATATTTCAGCTCCATTTTTTTCTGAATGCAGTTTTTCCTTATGGACTGCGAAAAAACTAAGTTATTCAGGAATATGAAGTTACACTTAGTTCAGAAAATAATTGTTTCAACTTAACAAATATTGTCCAAGTTTAAAGATTCTTCTGTTAACAGAATACTTGTCAATTAATTTTCATATCAAAATTTATCACACTTTCACAAATGGTACTACCAATTTATTGGACAGACAGTGAGCTGTGGTTACATTACATTTGATAAATGAATCTGTAACGTACCACTGCTGTCCATTTAATCAGTATTGAAATAGGAGATCTTCAACATGGCAAAAAAGTGCCAAGGAACTTCACTGGAGAGTTATCAAAAAAAATGCCTCTCAGCCAAATAATACCGTTTTAGGATAAATGACCAAAGGCATGGTCAAAGACACAAGTTTGAACAAACAATTTAAACAAGAAGCAAAGGCCAGAATTTTGGATTTCAGAGCTCCATCAATAATGGAGCTATTCAAATTGGAGTGTTGAAACAGCCAAAACTGGATTAGTACAGATATCTCATAGGATTCTGTCACATTATTTTGGCATTCTGACAGGACTCTATGGTCCGCTCTTCAATCACTTCCAAAACCCCTCCTGTGTCCATGGCACTTTCCCACTGCAAGCACTGGAGATGCAACATCTGTTCTTTTACTTATGTTTCACGGTTTAAGCTGCAAAATACGGACTCCAAACGAAACAGCAACCTACATATAATATCCATTATGACCTTTTTTTAAGCAACTCGTTCAGACATGACACTCCAGAACTCAGGTGGACTGACCTGAAAGGTAGGGACACTATTATTGTACCACAAGCCCCTGCCTTGCATTACCAGTCTTCTTCCTATTTAATGTCTCCTGCCTTCAGTCTAACAAAGACGATGCCTTGGTTCTTTCTTTCAGGCCCACCACATCCTGATTCACCACACCTTTATCTAAAATCTGTTGGATCATTTTGATAATTTATGATCTCTCAACCTTAATTAAATTTGTAGTTTAGGATTACTTATTACTCTGGTTAGACCCTGAGCATGCGACTCTTATACCTGTTGTATTATTCCTGTCCTTTGGTTCGTCTCCAGCACCACTTTATTTTTAATTTTTTGTAATTACCTCTGCCTCATTTGATCAGATTATAGGTCCTCCTTTGCTTGTTATTTAGCTGTTGACACTTTACTCACACCATCTGACACTCTTGATCACCTAGAGAGACCTATTATTCAGCCTGGCAACACTCCACTTTGTATAATCTTTTGATCTCTCTGCCCATTGATCTCCCTGCCTATAAATTCTGTGCCCAGGTGCTTCTCTCTCACTTTACCTGACGAAGGGGCTATGCTCCGAAAGCTTGTGATTTCAAATAAATCTGTAGGACTATATCCTAGTGCCATCTGACTTCTGACCTTATGGAAGGGTGAGACATTGGAGGGATTTGAAAACGTGGATTGGAACTTTAAAATCAAGGCATTACTTAATTACATAATGGTGGGGTGGGCCACGGGGCAACCGAGTGATGACTAATGATTTTCTGCCTGTGCCCCACATCACATCAAGTTTTCCGTGACTGCAAATTCACAAATGGTATAATGAGAGAGGCTGGCCAGAAGTGCATTGGAATAGTCAATTTCAGAAGTACCAATGGCACTAATTTCACAATTAATTCACCTTATAGGGACCAAATTTTCTAATCCTACTCAGGATACAAAAGGTGCCTGTGCTATTTGATATTGTATCTTTAAAGTCCTAAAATAAACATTTAAAAGTCTAAATTTCTGTTTTTTTTAAAAAAAGTGAATTGTAGATGCCTCTTGTTATAAACATTGCATGTAGGTTGTTACAATAATAGTCAGTACCTAGCTCAATACAGGGTTCAAACTCTTCAAAAAACCAAAATAACTGCGGATGCTGTAAATCAGGAACAAAAACAAAGTTGCTGGAAAAGCTCAGCAGGTCTGGCAGCATCTGTGAAGGAAAAAATAGAGTTCTGAGGAAGGGTCACCGGACCCGAAACGTTAACTCTGTTTCCTCCTTCACAGGTGCTGCCAGACCTGCTGAGCTTTTCCAGCAACTTCTGTTTTCATTCAAACTCTTCAAGACCAGCAAGTTTTAACAAGCACAGGGAGTTCTACAATAGGTAGATCTATTACTTGGAAAATCTATCTATCAAGAAATAAAGTCTATTTTTGGTTAAGAATGTTAAATGTTACCTGCAACATACATGCTTTTTGGTGTTATTTAGATGTTTTATGAAGAATGGTGCAGTGTGTAAAAAAATGTCATTATCAGCAGTGCCACAGTTCATAGAAAAAGGATTTTATTAAGGAAAGTGGAGTACAAACTCTTAAGATTTGCTTCTCAAATGATTTATTTACTATAATACATTGTAACTGATGTCAAAATCTTAAGAGTTTCATGTCAGTTCCACTGAGGTGAATAACAACACTGAGCAAATTGAGTTGTTTTCATAGTTAACTAGCACCCAAACCTACACAAAACATATACTAGCAGCAGAATGTTTCAAATGATTAACAATTCTCTGAAAAGAATAATGTTCTGATAATATCTGCAAATAGTTGCAAACATTAATTGACTGTTTCAGAACTAGAGTAGAATCGATGCTATTCACACAGCCAGTTTCCCCACCAAATACTGATTACATTCCATCCAGCTCACCAATTTATTTTACATTAACTTTCAGGAAAACGTACAGCACTTATTCAAATTAACAAATCTTCTACTTAAAGCAGAATCATTTTACAGCAAAATGGGTACCGATTTGAGAAAAGTGTATTTTTTAAAACAAGTTGTTACATACATGTAATTTGAACAATGTAAGCTAAAATAATATTCTAAATAAATTTTAGTACAAAATACCACAGGAAGTAACAGGAATACAAGCTTTACAAAATTATACATGAACTGTGTGTAATTCCCAATACCCAAAATATTTATTGCTATGTTAGCAATATTTAAGTCATAACAGGTTACTTGTAAGGGTCACATTAAAATGAGTTAACAGAAACAAGCAGTACTTGTAGCTATTTAATACACCATTCTTTATTGCAAACACAACATGTGAAAGCCATATAATTGAAGGATTATGGAAAGATTTACAATCTCATATGAAAAATGACTTTTCTATACACCCAATATTTTCCCCTTTCATTCCAAAGAGGAAAATTATTTCTAAAAATGCATTAGGAGAAGGTACAAGACCAACCATGAATTTAACACATGCATTATTTTCCAACAATTAAGGATACTATAAAAGTCTACATTTTATCCTTTAAACGAAACAAATGCAATAAGACATATAGGATAAAATGATGGTAATTTTTAAGCTCAGTTTTCTCTCTTGAACTGATCCTTATTGTGCTGTTGGTCATTAAAATAAGTGATTCTTCTGATAACAAAAAGAATCACCACAGTTCTATTACCAGTAAACAGAAGGTGCAGTAGACATCAAGTCTTTTACAGTACACCTAGCATTTTTTCTTAAAACTACATTTTCAGAAGCAGTGCAAATGTTGGGAGGCTGCTAATGACAGCATTTCCATCTACCCACCCACACAAATATGTAAGGACACAAACACAATGACTCCCCAAACAGCACAAATAAAAGGTCAAATCCAGTTGGAATATTTTTATATTATATTGTTGGCTGAGAAATATATTTGACTTCATTTTGTACAATTTAGTGTATACATACTCTGTTATTCACAACTGTCAAAAGGTTTGTGAAGAAAACAACCACAAAAAAAAATCCACAGAAACTGTCAAGGATGCTTTTCTTTCATGCAGCAAGTGGAATGTATTTATTGCAGCCAGTTTGTTTTATACACAATCATTTTAGAAATTCCATTAATATCTACACTTACAACTGTCTCCTTTGGTAAGTGAAGAAAGGAATGCTAGATTGATCTTAAAGCAATGTTGCTACTACAGTTTGCAAATGAGTAACAGCTTTAGGTCTTCCAAACTTTAGCAACTGGACTGTCAGATACCCAGTTTATAACGACGTGTCTTGCTATTTTGCTCATATGATATCAAGTTGATCTGTCTGGATCTGTGTTTGGAACTGTTGAGATGCTGGAGGTGGTGGCAACGATGGTAATGGTAACAATGGTTCTACCAACTGACCTGTGCAAGGTTCCTCAGGAGCAGTGGCTGTTTCTACAATTTCTCCGTCGTAAAAGAGGAACTGATACTGCTGAATAAACGTCTCAATTGCAGACTGATTCACTGCAGCATTGGTAAGGCCATCTGGTCTCAGGAAGGTAGGCCAAAAACAAATGGCAAGATTATCTGCTATCATACGATTTGTTTTACTCTGTTGACTAACCCTGCACAAAACACAAGAAAAATATCAGGTCTAGTTTTAAAACAACTGTATCACCTAAAAAAAAAGTTGATCAGGGAAATGCAGCTTGGATCTCCTGTTCTGGCTTGTTTCTGGCTCAGATGACTAAATAGTTTTTAATGGTCACCATGTTGAAAAAAAAAACAGTAAACATTAAATCAAATGTTCACAATCTTCCAGCACAGAATTAAATATTGTTGGTAAGTAAATTATAGATTTCATATCTATTAACACAGAACATATCATTTGAAATTCTCAAATTTTTAAGCGTACGTTCAAGACAGTCAGTTAATACCATTCACCTGAACATTTTGGAAGAAACAACCTGGTCAGAAGTGTAGCTCAACCAAGGATAAAGTATTATTCACTAATGCTCACAGCTTCTTTGGTATATATTTGGATACATGTACTGTACTAGGTGCATAAATTTGCCAATTATTTGTTCCTTCAATCTTTTTCTGTTAATTAATTTTAGGCAAGCATTTGATTAAGTGCCGTATAATAGAACTGCCAGCAAAACTGAAGCCCATGGGATGAAATAATGGTGGTAAACACTTGTTTTCAGACTGGATACTCAAGGCTCTGAAAGTGTCATTACTAGGAGCATTGTTTTTCTTGATAACATATTAATGATCTTGGCTTGGGTATATAGGGCACAACTTCAAAATTTGCAGATGACACAAAACTTGGGAGGAAAAGTGGACTATGAAGGCGACTGTTAATGACAAGAGGATACAGACAAGCTGGTGGAGTCAGTGGACACCAGCGTATGAAATTTAATGTAGTGAAGTGCAAAGTGATGCATTTTAAGCAAGATGGAGGGTACAATTTTAAAGATGAAGCTAACTTGGGGTATTTGGTGGTAAAAGTGTACAAATCACTGAAATTGGCAGGGGAGACTGAAAATGAAGTCAATAAGGTATTCAGGATCCTATAATAGTCACAAGTACACAAATAAGTAAATTATAATAATCCTTCATAAAATACTAGCTTAGCCTCAAGTGGAGTATTGTAACTAATTCTCACTTTAGGAAGAACGTCTGGTTAAACAGAATGAAAAAAAACAATTACATGAATGATTTCAGGAATCAGGGTGGTTCAGTCTTCTCAAAAAAAAACGTTAAGAGGAGATGTGGATTTAACACAAACTAGATTCAATGTTGGGACAGTCAAGCACCTGGACCCCACTTAAAGTGAACAGCAAAAGAAAGTTGACACGAAGAACTTTTTTCCTGCAACCAAAGGTTAGAATTTGGAATGCATTACCTGAGAATGTGTTGAGGCAAATTCAATTGTGGGTCCAAAGAGAACTGTATAGATAGCCAAAAACAAAGAGATTGTACAACAATGGTAAAAGAGCAGGAGAATGGAATCAGTTCTTAGAAAAGTTTGCCTCAGATAAGATGAGCAAATGGTCTCCTTCTGCACTGTAATTATCTACACTTTTATGAAAAACTCAAGCAGAAATAGAACTGTAGTGAATCACAAAAACATTGTAGTATCAAAAAGACAAGCTGATAAAATTATGAATACAGTAAAATCAGCATTGGACAATGTAAAACACACCAGCAAGACTACCAAAAACATTCTCCAAAGTTTATTTTTGGGTTGCACAACAATAACTTGTCAAAGACAACAGTCAAAGCTCAGTGTCTTCCACTTATAGTCAGGGTTAAAGACCAGCTCCTCTCGAGTTGGAAAGGTAACATACAATTCAAATGCCTGGAGAAAACAAATTATTGACCTATCAATACCAATTCCCTTTTCCAAAAATACATCAAGATATGATTTAATCTACTCCATTGCAACTTCCCTCTATCTAAAGTAGGACTGTTTGGTCATGGTTATGCAGTATTCATCTTCACTCAGAACTCCTCCGATATGAAACAATTTATGCAATATTAAGAAAGATCCACACAACATTCAACCATGATAATGACAAGCTCATCACTGCCAAACAATGTCCATTCCAACAAGAGTGTCAAATTCCCACCTTCCTGTGACATCCATAGCACTGACATAATCAAATCCCTCACCAACAGTAACCTGGAGGATTACCACTGGCCAGAAACTTAACTAAATTAGACATATAAATACTGTCACAACAGCAGGTCAGAGATTGTATATTCTACAGCAAATGACTCACCTCCGGACTTGTCAAAAGATTTTTTTTTAAACAAGGCACAAGTGAGGGGTGTAATGGATGAACGCTGCTGCAACAACAATTTAAGGGAGGCATAGGGACGTGACTAGACCTAGTGACCAAGAACACCAGGCAATGATCTAGGGACACGTGTCAAATTCCAAGCCCTAACCTAATTCACCAGCTTTAGGGAAGGAAATAAGCATTCCTTACCCAGTCTGACCTACGTGTGACTGCAGATGCATAATATGCTGACTGTTAACGGCCCTCAATTAGGGACAGGTTATAAATGCTACCCGATCCAGGGATGCCCACATCCCATGAATGAATAAAAAAGTTCAAAGTATGATGGCAACTTTGATGACATTAAGCTATCATCATTGACAAGAACCCTCTCAACAATCTTAAACAGTTGCTCCTCTCACCAGCATCTACACAACGCACAGCAGCTTCTTGCAATGCAGTGACTGCTACCACATAGACAAGGACAGGAGACACATGAAATTACCAGTACTGTCAATTTCCCTTCCATGACGTAGAAACATACCACTGACCCTTCATCACAACTAGATCAAAATCTGGGAACTCCCTATCTAATAGGAGTAAAGCACCACTTTCTAAGGGACTGCAGTGGTTTATGAAAGTGGCTCATTGTCACCTGCCCAAAGGCAACTAGGCATTGGCTATAAAACCTGTCTTGCTTGTGGTGCCAGAATTAAAAAAGATGAAATGTGCATTAAATGGTCTGTGAACCTACTGCTGTGTATTTAGAAGAATCTAGTGCCTCTTTGTTGGAAAGTTGGGTGGAGTATTTGATGTTCACAAAATGATAGGGAGGAAGAGTTCAGAGTCCCTTTAAAAGGTTGTGTTTTTTGGGCTTGGAGATTTAAAAAAATGTCTGCAGGCAGCAGCAGATGCACAGAGTTCTTGAAATTGAAACGTTATATCAAAAGGCTATACTGTTAGCAGGCAAAGCAGCACTTCACCAAGACAACAGATTTTTGAATTTGAGATAGTAGGAACTGCAGATGCTGGAGAATCCGAGACAACAAGGTGCAGGGCTGGATGAACACAGCACGCCAAGCAGCATCATAGGAGCAGAGAGGCTGACATTTTGGGCCTAGATGAATTTAGCCAATTAATTTAAACCAGGCCCTAGAGGTCAAAACCCAATTTAAATTTAAATTTTTGACAACCTAGCGCCAATACTAGTCTAAGAAATTAATAGGTCATCTAATAGGGTATAAAAGAACAGGGCATTTGAAAATTGGTGCGTCATCTGTCAAGAGAACAGCTCTCAGCTATAAAAGGAAGAATCACTGGCTCTCACAGAATTCTCTAAGCTCCCAGAAAACCATCATCCGAAGTAAAGGTACAGCGACACTCTTAGCTAATATTCCTGACACGAGAATTCAACGGAGGAAATCGTTCCTGACCGGAAGACAGTGGAGAAGGCAAACAACATTCCAGAAGACTTATCCTGGCTGTGATCTTGAGAGACTAGGTTTTAATTTATTTTTCTATTTACCTTGGTTTATATAAGAAGGACTTGTATTTATTGGAACAGCATACCGTCAGAATTTTGTTTATTTAGGAATAGTTAGTAGTTAAGGGGGAATTGTTTGGTTTGTAGGTAGTTCTGTTAATTTGTTTACTATTACAGTTAGATAAATAAATTGTTACTTGTTGATTATGAAGTGAGTATCAAGGATTTATTTCATTTAACTGCTCCTTTATAATTGGAGTGAGAGATAGGTTATACCATTTTTCACACTTTCTTTAACAGATTACGAGGTGATGCAAGCTTCTCTGCATGTTTCAGCTTTAGTTCTCAGAGGTGGGTGGGTCGACCTCTTCCTTCATAACAGATTGGGAGCTCAAGTCCAGGATCTGGCCAGTTTGTTTACGGGATCTGAAAGGATTTGGACAGATTTGCGGTACAAAAGGTCCCAGCAGACTTAAACAGATTTAGGGATTAGGGTCCTAGATCTTTAAAATAAACTTAGGTAAGAAGTGGAAAATCTGTTTAATTTCGGTTACTTGTGGTTGGTTAAATCAAAGTAGTGAGGGGAATAGCTGTTAACATTGCTAGAGGAGTCCTGGTGTTTGAGGATGCTTCCCAAATTTGCCAAGAAAATTTAGCAAGACAGAAGGATATACATTTAGACTTCGCAAACAGGCTCGATTTGGGTTTAACTAGGGATTAGAAGAAAGCTGAAATTGTAACAGAGTTGGTCAACCATTTTAGAGACAAGCAAGTGCAGTGAATTTAGAAAAAATTAAATTGAAAATTAAGCAATTGGCGTTAGAAAGAAAAAGAGAAGAAAGGCAACTAAAATGGTTTGAATTATAGACACAAGCAGAGCAAAGACAAAAACAAAGAGTAAAAAGGGAAAAAGCAAGAGAAGAAAGAGAAAAAACAGACAGAAGAAAGGGAAAGACAGAGAAGGGTAAAAGAGAGAAAAGGGGGAAAAAAGAGAAAAGAAAGGAAAGAAGAGAGTTTGAAATTTGGAAGTTGCAAATTAAACAGGAAAATCAATTTAAAAGGATGGAAATAAAAGTCGAAGAGAGACTTAGTGAGGAGAAGTGTGATAATGAGCAAACCCATTTTAGCCAAAGACCTGGTAGGGATATATACAAATATATCAAAGCATTACCAAAATTCAATGAAAAAGATGCAGAAGCCTTTTTCATTTCCTTTGGGAAACTGACTACCTAGATGAACTGGCCAGAGATTGTATGGGTAATGTTAATTCAGACCAAGTTGGTAGGTAGGGCCAGTGAGGTGTTTGCAGCGCTGTCAGAGGTGGTGTCAAGAGAATATGAAGTAGTAAAGCAGGCTATTTTGAGTGCCTATGAATTGGTACCAGAAACATATAGACAATGGTTCAGAAATACAAAAAAGGAACCAGGTCAGACTTATGCTGAGTTTGAAAGAATTAAACATAGCAACTTCGATAGATGGGTGAGAGCATTAAAGATAGAAAAGACATATGAGGATCTTAGACAGATTATTCTGATGGAGGAGTTCAAAAACTCACTTCCAGAAATGATAAGAACTCCTGTTGAGGAACAGAAAGTAAAAAATCAAGAAGAACTGAAGAGATAGTAGATAAATGCGCATTAGTGCATAAATCAGAATCTCGCTTCCAACAGTGATTTCATTCCATGAGGGATAGAAATTGGGAAAACGGGAGATCCTTCAATGAAAACAAAATGTAGACTGGGAACAGTTTACCATATGTGAAAAAAGAAACCAAAGAGGGGAAAACAAAAGATGAAAGGCCTCATGTGTTTCCATTGTCTTAGAAGGAGACACAAAGTCACACTGCTGGTGATTTAAGAAAGGCACTGAGGAAAAAAATGTGGCAAAAGAAGCTAAAACAGTGGGATTAGTTGAGGTACTGACGGAAATCCCAAGAAAAGTCGAGGGGCTTCAGGCGAGAGCACAGTCCAGTCATGGGCTGGGTAGTAAGATAGTGCCCAATCTCTTCGAAGTTTCACTTCTGTGGGTAAGGTTTACTCAGGAAGAACAGGGGGAGAAAGTAAAGTAGTTAAATATTGAGATATGGGACTGGTCAGTCTCTAATAGTAAGAGATCAAAGTATTTGCACTACTTCTGAAATGTTACCTGAGAGTGTGATAAATCTGTGGAATAAATGGAGAGAGATTTGGCATTTCCCTGTGTAAGATAAGGCTGGAAAGACCAATCAAGTGACAGTGAGAGTATTGAAACAATGTCTAATCCAGGAATACAGTTTGTTCTTGGAAACAACCTAACCGGATCAAGGGTGGGAGTGATGCCTATTGTAATGGAGAAGCCAAAAACAAACCAGGAAACTGAAGAGTTAAAAGAAAAATGCTCTGGAATTTTTCTGGACTCTGTGGTAACAAGATCCTGCAGTCATAAGTTAAAGCAAGAAGGGAAAACCAAAGAGAAAGACAAAGGAGTTGAGGTCCAGTTAGCTGACACCCTGTTTGACGAAATGGTAAAGCCAAACCTAAGCAAGTAAAGGATCGGGCAGAGGTGCTTAGTTCTGAAAGATTAATGGAGTTACAACAAAAAGATCGGACAATAAAATATTTATAGAATAAAGTCTACATGGAAAAGGAATCAGAATGTACTCCATAATGTTTTTACATTAACGACAAAATCCTAAGGCGCAAGTGGAGACCTTGGCAGGTCAGTGCAGAGGAGATATGGGCGGTAGTTCACCAGAGATTGTGTTGCTGGTAGCATACAGACAGGAAATATTGTGGGTAGCACACAAATTACCTGTAGAAGGTCATCCAGGAGTGAGGAAGATACAGAAGCATTTCTATTGGCCTGGATTACATAAAGATATGGTTGAATTTTGCCATACCTGCCATGCGTGTCAGACGGTAGGAAAACCACAGGCAGTAATAAAACCAGCTCCTTTAATGCCAATTCCTGCATTTGAAGAACCTTTCATGCAGGTTATGATTGATTGTGTAGGTCCCCTCCCTAAAACCAAAACTGGGAACCAGTATTTACTAACCATAATGGACGTATCTACCAGATTTCTGGAGGCAATTCCATTACAGAACGTCAAGGCAAAAAAAGGGTTGTGGAGGAGTTACCTGCTTTCTTTACCCATTATGGACTACCCAGGGAGATTCAGTAAGACCAAAGGTCCAATTTTACTGACAAATTATTTAAGGTGGTCATGGATAGTTTAGGAATCCAACACTTTAAATCAAGTGCATACTATCCTGAATCAAAAATCAGATGCCAAAGACTATGCTGAGGGTTTATTGCCAGGATTACCCAGATGGTTGGGATAAAGGCATCCCATTTATATTGTTTGCTATTAGAGATGACCCAAATGAATCAACTCATTTTACTCCAGTTGAATTGATAATTGGACGTGAAGTAAGAGTGCCTTTAAAATTAATTTAAGGAAAAGTTAATAGATCTGAAGTCAGAGATCTCCACTTGCTTTGCCTCATCTCGGTGATGTCTTCTTGGAGCATCGCTTCCACTTCCTTCTCTACTTGTGCTGCTTTGAGAGGATTAAGCCTGTCGGGGTGCTGTTTTATTGGAACAGCTTTCCCTACATTCACCTCATGTACTATAGTATTAGTCCTCCCCATTCTATTTCCTTGTAGCGCTGCATAACATATCTGAAGTGACAGAAAGATTAAACAGAGTAGGGGAATTAGCTAGACTACATTTGAAGGTGGCACAGCATCGAATGAAGCAAGAAGCAGATAAGAAATCTAAAATTCATACATTTGCCCATAGGGATAAAGTATTGGTGCTGTTAACAGTGGTAGGAGATCCCTTCAGAGCAAGGTTTATGGGTACCTATCAGATGGAGAAGAAGTTAAGTCAGGTGAATTATCTGGTAAAGATGCCAGACCGGAAAATAAATTATCAGGTACATCACGTGAATATGTTGAAACCTTCCTATGACAGGGAAAGAGAACTAGAGAAACAGGTATTCGTTACAGCCACTCAGTGAGGAATCAAATTCAGATGATTTGGATTTTGATGTGCCTCAGAATAAACTGAATAATGAGGAAGTCCTTAAAGAATGGGATAGGGTAGAAGATATCTGTCTCAAGAACACAGAACTGAATTGAAAGACTTGTTGCAGCGCTACAAGGAAATAGAATGGGGAGGACTAATACTATAGTACATGAGGTGAATGTAGGGAAAGCTGTTCCAATAAAACAGCACCCCGACAGGCTTAATCCTCTCAAAGCAGCACAAGTACAGAAGGAAGTGGAAGCGATGCTCCAAGAAGACATCACCGAGATGAGGCAAAGCAAGTGGAGTTTGACGTGTTGGTTACCAAACCTGATGGTACTCAACAATTCTGCGCAGATTTTTGGAAGACTCATTCCCAATTCCAAGGTATGGAAAATGTTGGATTTACTTCGTGGTACTGGCAAGTACCTTTGTCGGACACAGCAAAAAAAATTTCTGCTTT